GATACACTTTATCAATCTCCCGACGCGCATTTGCGGAGCTCGGACCAAGATCAGGAGGGTTCTAGTGTTCTTGTAAGATCTGGGATCACTAGCGAATTTGAATAGGGATTTCCAACAGCAGGGATAAGATAACTGATCTCGCCAGTACGAACATAAACCTTAATGATGTGGTTTAAGCTTTCAGGATACAACATCTAAGCATAGTTTCTCCCGCGATTAACCTGTTGGGTAGCTCTGTGGTTAGTGGCTGATGACTGGGTTCGAACCACGCTTAGAACAATATGGGAAGAGAGCTGGTGTAAAGATCTGGGTTTAAATGGTCTTCAAAAACTTATTGTCTGTAGAGGCGACTAACGGGATCGGATAAGCTTGTTCTGTGACTCGGTTGATGCATGCCATCGTATCCCAACTGCGTAAATCGATGCCAGTGATGTCAATCACTTAATTGTCTGGTCCAGACTCCATTTTCTACAGACTTCAGTCACGTAGCTGGAATATTGCTGAAGCGACGTTAAACAACAAACAAACAATCTAAATATTCTTTCTATAGACGGTTGAGCAGCCAAGCGGTTGATTGAGTGAGTATGGTTTTACGCCGCTTTTAGCAATATTCCAGCAATATCTCGGCGGGGGCACCAGAAATGGGCTTCACACATTGTACCCATGTGGGGAATCGAACCCGGGTCTTCGGTGCGACGAGCCAACGCTTTAACCACTACCCCACCGCCCAGTCAAGCGATTGAAGATTGTCATCGAAGCGTTCGAATCCGTTCTTGGTCTCCCTTGTCGTGTCTTTGCTGGATTACTGCCACGATTCGTAAACCTAACTCATTAACAGAAACAGTTACTTCCTCAATAACAAGAACGTAGGCAGTTCAGAATATATGACGATTAAATGGGCGTCACTTTATAATATACCGTGTTTCAATTTGTACAACGGGGGTGAGTGACGCCGAAGTTATCGCACACCCTACAATGTTTGTTTACCCGCAATCAAATCAAACTGCATTTACTTTTCTTTTTTATCACGAAAGAAGGTAGGGCTTGAACGTGACTTAGTTTCAACCCGAGAGTTAAAGCCCAGCACGCGCATTAATCTTTGTCACAACATTAGACTCTTGCTAGAATTCTAAATCGGAACTATTTTCGGAACTTGATTTAAGGTATTAACTCAGCATAATACAAAGTTTGTTTCTAGATTTAACGACTTCCTGTCTGCGATATTAAGATAATATTTACTTCGATACACGCTGTAGATTATTGGGAATTTATTATTAGACAGTGACATTGTAAACTACAACCTGTAGCTTTAAAAAAAAATGATTTATTTATAAGCAGTAAATGGGTTATCATTAATCATACATAAATATGGTCATAACCTTCTCAGGCTAAATATATTTTTCCTTTTATCTTATCCCACGGTAATATTTTATGCTTGTCAATTTATGAGGAGGCTGCCATTATCATTACAAGGAAGATTTGATGAAAGTGATGACTACATACATTGATGGGGTGAGTGAGTTTAGTTTTACGCCGCTTTTAGCAATATTCCAACAATATCACGACGGGGGACACCATAAATTGGCCTCACACTGCACCCATGAAGGGAATCGAACCCGGGTCTTCAGCGTGACGAGCGAACGCTTTTAATCATTAAGCTACCCCACCGCCCCCTGACGGGAAAAACACGCACCTGCCAGATGAGAACAAGCGGGGCATGCATATTTATCCGTAAACTTTCGGACTATGTAATATTATTCGGTAGAATGAAGCTGTAAGTACAAACCCAAATATTTTCAGAACTTTATATTTTAAAATATCCTGACCTCAGTCAGTTTGGTACGTCAGAAGAATCACATTTAATTAGTGGTAAGGATGAGATAAAAAAGATAAAACGTGAACTATTTCTTTATAAACATTTGTAACTTATAACGGTGTCAATCACTGTGTCGCCACTAATTCATTACACCTGTATGTGACAGTGTAGGCCCAACAGGTGTTATTGTTTAGACACCACAGATAGAATTCTCTCACGTCAGCTGTATTGGCAGGTGGTTGGGTCAACTGCTAGCGGGCACATGACCAAGTACATAGTAAACACAACCGCTGGCATTTCCAGGCTCATCAACCCATCTCGGGACAGGAAGCGTAATTACAATGGTGTGTTTGTGCATGCCCAAGGAATCTTGTTAATAATGTCGTATGAAAGACCGCGTAATTAGCCAGTGACAGATAGCATCAATGTACGTTATTATTGTCATAATGACCTATGTTGTTATTACTCTTGAAGGTGTTTCGTTTAATTAATGTAAATATTATGAAAAGTGGAGCGCAACTGTTTGCTACAACTGTGGTTAGGGAATGGCAAGGGTGGTACGAGTTACTTCCCTTGAACTAGTACCGTAACAAGTTCTAGACCATTCGATTTCTTATCATCCACAAACTACTAGTATATATATTCCGTTTGTGCAACTGTATATTATGTTTAGCACTATCTTGTAAAACGTATTACCAGCTGCGTCAACTTATTACCTGTAGATGTATTTACACAAGCAAATTTTCCTTTTATACCGATCCAGATTTCTTTGGAAATAAAAATATGTTTAAAGCACAAACTTTAAGGGGATCGAATGGTTTTTTTAAACAAAATCAGAATTTACATGAAATGTGTAAAGTAACAATGGCCTTCCTAATGCACAGAAGAGTATTAAAACCTTGTTAATAATCAGCTATTATACAGCTTTAATAATTCCAACATTACTTAGTGATCCACCATTACATATTTTACTGGCGCTTTAATCAATTACGGAAATTGCGTTCCTTCATAACTCCACTAAACATACTCTTGTCGCCACAGAGTTAAAGGCATGAACATATATTATTGATTATTTATTAACTAGTCGTAACAATTAATTTCTGTTCGTACTGGCAACTATGACTGGAGCCACTGATTTAAATTAAATTTTGTAGAAGATTAGAGTTACATTGTTTCATACACTTCCGTTCAAACGCAACAAGGGCTCAGTCCATATTTATTATGTACTATTTATGATTCGTCCACATTAAGTTTACCAACACAAATAGTTGTTTACTTGATCACTGATAGTTTTGAAATTTCCTTTCAAAGTTAGTTATTTTCATGGCATATAAACTGTTGTGGGTTTCAAAATGTATATCCCGGTTCCAAAAGTCTTCCAAAGTCCAAAAATTATACCGTTTTAGTTAGTTCCTTATATCTAAGTGATGTATATTTGCCTAACATCCTGCTACTAGTAATTTTTAAGAATTTGTAAAATTGAAATTTCACTCAAGCAAAATATGAAAACAATAGCGCGTCTACGAGACAAATTCAGAAGAATGTCTACATGCATCCAAATTATTATACATATTTCCTACACATGAATACCGATAGTGACGTAAAGATGCTGACATATGATAGAATTAAAAAGAGCAATAAATACATGTACAAACAGTATCTTACCATGAGTACGCTATCCGCCCAGTAGCTTCCCATGGCATGTAGACTGTCATCACCAGGGTGCAGGCGACGCTACACTGATGGTTCTCCTGTCTCGCATTACCTTGGCTATTATCCCCTATGTCAGATAGACGCGCATACTGTCAAATGTCAAGCCCATTTTCAAATATCAAAGATTAAAGGGTCGAGCAACTTTGACCAGAAATATGACGAGTTTTGATTGCTTTTGTCCTGGCTTGTCGACCACATTCGGCGTCTAAATTTCACGGACCGCAAGGGGTGAGTACATTTGTGGTAATTTGTCTGGGTATTTGGCGATGCAGGGCATATTTATTAGATGGCTGAAGAGCCAGCGAACGAGGCACTGATTGTATTAAAGCGTGTGTTTTGCTTTACACACTTCATAGAAACAACGACGCATTTATTTGTATTTTTTAACTTTGATGTAATCGTTACACCACTAAATACAACTTAATTTGTCCTTTAGCACACATTCTACAATTAACATTTATTTGATTTTCCGTTAAGTTACTTATCTGATATTTTGGTTGCCTTTTCATCGTCTTGAACCGAATCCGTATTCCCCTGAATCCTTTCAATACAATATATTAAATGCTTTAGTGTTTTTCGACTCAGTAAACCAAATCTGAGCTCCGAACCTAGTCCTATTGTGGGACCAGTGGGTACAGTATCCACTCGGCTTTTGTCTCGCAGGTGAAGAGATAGTTGTGCATTTGTTGGTCAGTAGGTGTGGCGTGACTACCAACCTCGTCAAGTTCGTCAAGGACGAGTTATACGAGGGCTACATAATAAAACCAATTTAACATTTGGGAAACAAATAGGTTATACAACGGCGTCATATTGCAAAGTTTTGTAATTTCTTAATTTGAACAATGACCTTTAACTGATATTCAGCACATACGTGCTAAAAATTGGAATGCTAAGAACTGTCTGTGTGACACCTGGCGAGTCAGCCAATCAGTCCAAGAGGAGGGCGGTGACTCACTCACTTACTCAAAGAGACCTACTTTTAAGAACTGTCTTCGGGCAAAGACTTGCTCGTGTTAATATAAGACAAAACGTTTCCAGAACTGATATTAACCTTTGATTGTTGTAATTGTACTGATGCTGGCGAATGAAACCTCGTGTGTCAAATTCCCTCGCCATAACTTGTCCTTCGCACGGCCTTCATTTTGTCCCTCATTTCTAGTCTGTCATATTGCGGATTGTACAGATTCACTCACCTTTGTTATCACCGTCGGGCCCCATATACTTTGTATTTAAGAAGGCAAATAATTATTGCATCTTAAAGTATGGACTCCGCTATCTCAAAGTCGTTGAGACCGATGGCCTTATATAAAGCGTGATTATTTGAGTAAATACATATTATTACTGTTCAGATGTTCATTGATGAACTCTTTTGACGAAAACCGACTTTGAGATAACAGGGGCCTGCTGCTGTGAGATAAAGCCCTTATTTCACACATATTGCACGTGGAACAAGAAATAACGACGTGCCTACCTTTTTGACGTCAACTCCGAGGTGTTCCAACATGTCGGAGGCGGAGGTGTATCCTTTGAAGTTTCTGTCATCGTCGTCAGATGCTCCCGGAATCTTGATGATGCGAGGTGGCGGTGGCTTCTCACAGAGATTCAGGAAGTCTGCAATGGCTACCAGGCCCTTCTTCTGAGTCAAGATCTGCGCCATCTGCTTAGATGTTGTAGAAGGAGGACCTCGGGTCTTGGAAGGTGCCGCTTGTTGGGGTGACCGTTCAGCCGTAATGCGTTCATCTTCGATGTCGATGAGTTTGTCATCATGAGACTTTGATGCCCGCATCTTGGATCCAGAGGATCGTCCATCTTGCTGAGCTTCGAAGGAGTAGCTGTTTGGCCTTCGCTTCGTGAACGGATCATCTTCATATGATGATGGCGAGAGTGGAGAAGGTTGCATTGGGTGGTGTGGCGTCCTTGGTACTGGAGAGTCCATGATGTCTGCCTGTCGTCGCCTCTCGTCGTCGTCAAGGAGGCTGTCGATGTCTTGTACAGCGCTGATGTAACCAGAACGGGCTCCCTTGTAAGGTTGTTTCTTCTGACCATCTGGAGAAGATTTTGATTTGCCCATTTCAGACTCAGGACTGTGTGGCACAATGTCGGGGAGAGTTCCCTGACTCGTCATAGAAGCAATCGAATGCTGAGACACAGAATTTGACATTCGTTGCAAATTGGGGTCATCAAAGCCTGAACCACTGCTCATCTTGGATAGGCTTTCATTGGACACGGCGAGATGGTTTGGTCTCATTCTATCATAAGGAGACAAATACTGCTCTACCGACTGTTGTCGAGCAAGTTGAGCGTGTCTTCCCCTGTCCTCCAACATGTCCTCGCGTGAGCTTTGTCTACTAGATCTGTTGGACTTGGAGGACCGGCCGAAGATGCCTCTGTTCGGAGACTCCTCTCTGTTAAATCCAAACTGAGATCCTGCACTATCACTTGCGTGGCCGTGTGCGTGACTGCCATCGTTCTCCCATTTCTCCCTTCTGGACTTCCTTCTGTCGTCAAGGATGCTCTCCCTTGAACTGTCCCTCTTCAGTCTGTTGTCAGTAGCTTCTGAAGAACTACCAGATCTTCTTTGCAATCCGTAGTTGTCATTGCGAATATGGCCACGTCTATCTTCTCCTTCAAATACCTCATTGTCGCGATACTTGTCCATCGTCGACTTGTTGAGATTTGATTTTCTGAAGTCCTTGTTTGGCATGTGTCCTTGGTATTCATCATCGTCAAGGATACTGTCATTAGATCCACCCCTCGAGAGGTTCTTCCTTTGCCTTCGTTTCTGACGAGATGGGGAACCATCTCTAGAGTAGGGAACCTCAGAATCGTCCATCATGGCCCTCATCGAGTCCTGGTGGACATATTGTCTGTCATTTCTGTTGAAATTACTCTCAGCGCCTACTCCTGGATGTCTTCGCATATCATTAGGAGCACCATCCGGTTCTGTGTAGTATGCACTTGATGGCGAAGGCAGATTCTGCTTCCACTGATGAACCTTCTCAATACTCTCCCTTAGCGACAGGTTCTCTGGAGTGAGAGGAGGCTGATCACAGTCCAAGAGTTCCTTGCTGGAGTGCCTCTTCCTTTTTGGCTTGTCATCCAGCATGTCTTCTCTCGAGGACGACCTGCTAGGAGGCTTGTGTCGGGAATGTCTTTCATCAGCTGCGCTGTTATAATCTGTATTAGGAGTGCTAGTTCGTGGTTCGCGTCTCCTGCCCTTTCTGCTGCTTCTGTCATCTTCATCTTCCATCACGATAGATTCAGCATCAGCTTCTTCTCTCCTGGATGAACGTGGAACTTCTCCATAAACAGCTTGGCGCCAAGATTTCTCGGATGGTGGATCTTGAACCTCATCCCTATAATAGGACTTCTTTGGAGTCGGATCATAACTTGACTTCTTCGGGGCGTAACTTGTCCCCGGTAGAAACTTGTCGCGATATTTGTAGAAGGTTTCTCCAGGACCTAAACCTGATCCACCACCACCGCCACTGCCGCCGCCAATACTTCCTCTGTATCCTCCTCCACCTAATCCACGGGACCTCTTGGTGTTCTGTTGGTCCATATTTGTCTGTGTTGCACAGTCGACAGTGTTGGGGTGGTCCGTCTTGCTCTGTCTACCTCTTCGAGTCTCCCTCACGGGGCATTTGATCCTCCTGGTTCGCGAAGGAGCATCCCTTTTTGGCTCCTTGGCGTCTTTCTTATGTAGTTCCCCTTCTGGCATTGGCGAAGTACCTCTGCATATCAGGTATCTGCAACAATTACAATACAGGTCTATATCATTTGAAAAGGATGCGGTGGGTAGCCTAGTGGTTACAGCGTTAGTAAAAGACTCGGGTTCGATTCCCCACATGGCTACAATGTGTGATGCCTATTTCTGGTGTCCCCCGCCATGATATTGCTGGAATATTGCCTCACTCACTTGAAAAGTGTTTACACTAATTTTGAAATCGCCATCCTCCGAATGTCAAAACTTATTCATAAGAATCAAATCTAAACGTGCACATATTTATTCACATGTTATTTAGTTAGTTTACACACACATGCGATGTTGTCTTACTTAATATACGCCACTGAATTTTTATACCTGAGATAAGCAGGTCGCCATTTAATGAATTTCTGTTATTACACTTAAGCTACATATCATAGGGAATATAAGCCATAATGGTGAGCCGGATAATGATTACAAACCACTCTGCACTCTGCAGACACATACTCTCAATTTTCAGCTATGAAAACTTTGTCATAGCTATTGCATTTCGACCATTCGTGTTTACCTGACTGACTGGTTCGCTTTCTCAGCCTCGGGGGCACTGTCATCCGAATCTGACACTGAGGACTCTCTGGGCCGTCTCTTAGGCACATACGCCGACTGTTTACAGGGTTTGCTGGTCTGTTTGCCTGTCGGTTTGGTATCTGCGGACGGTCGACTTGGAGCGTCGTTCCCTCGGGAAGACTGTCGTTCATACCGCCGCGTCACAGGCGACGCGTCCGACCCACTCTTGTACGAATACGTAGAGTAGGGAGAAGCACTGCTGCTGTAGTCGTACCTCGACGACTTGGTACTGACGGGAGATGTCTCCCTGCTACCGGCACCGTAACTCTTACTAGAGCGTGTTGAAGCTCTGTCCCAGGACCCGTAGGAACGAGGGTTGCTGCCGCCATAGTCCGACAAATAGCCACTTCTCGTGGAGTGGCGATCGAGGGAGGGGTATCGATCCCTGCTGCTCGTGCTGCGATCGACGGACGGGTAACGGTCACCACTATATGAATATTTGGGTTCCATGTTCGAAAACTTGTTCACTTTGTCCGTCACAGATACTGGCGAGACGTATTTGGGAGGCTCATAGCTGTAGCTTCTGTTTGGCGGTTGGTAGGAAGATCCTCCTCTGTAACCGGAAGTTCCGTACCCAGAGTTGCCGTACGATTGAGGCGTGTAGCTCCGACCGCTACCTTTACTTGTGCCCATATCATACAACTGCAATAGAAATAGAAACAGTGAGGATAGGCGACTTCGAATTCGTGTTTCTGTTATATATGTACTGTTCAACTTTTGAAAGGGATAACCAGATGGATCTTTCTATCTAAATATACACCTGATATATACGAGAACAACCTTTACTTGTGCCCATACAACTGCAATAGAAATAGAAGCAGTGACTTGGTGAAGAATTGGGACTCAAATATCTGTTTCCTTTATACTGATCAACCTTTGACAGGGATAACCAGATGCATCTTTCGGTTCAAATATACACGTGGCATATATGAGGACCACTTTTGTGTATCGTGGAAAGGTGTATAAAATAGCCCTGTCAAAAGTGGAGGAGCATAATCTATTTCTGCAAATAAAAGCTATTACAAACAGAAATACAATTTACGCATTACCAAAGAGATTTTGTGAAAGAGAACATACGGAAAATGATGGTCAAAAGAATACGTGAGTGTGTTACATTTAACGTCGGTTTTAACAGTATTCCAGTTATGTCAAGGCTTGTCAGCTTAATGTTGGTGGATACACTTCTCCGACGTCTACCACTTTAATGAGTGAGTGAGTTAAACTTTTACATCGCATCGGCAATATTACAGCCATATAGTGGTGAAAACAAGGTAATCAGTTGTAAAAATCTGTCGACAAAGGACAGTAAAACCAACTAGACTATCACAGATATATATTTAACACTAGTAATTAAATCTCAAATACTGTAACTATAGAGGACGATACAATATAAAAACAGGCTATAGATCGCCAACAACTGAAGGTAGATCACCATACCATGGGGACTTACAGTACTTGTGCTACCTGCATGGACCCTAGCTGGATTTACATCACCACTTTATTGGCATGGTGCTGATAAACCTAAAAACACAAACGGGGCGAACCGGATTCGAACCCACTAGTTGGAATTAAAATAAAGATATATTGATATAGATGCTGTGTTGACATTTTGTAAAATCGGATCGGAATACATGTATATTGATACCTATCTAAAGATATCATTGCTGTGGTCAACTTCAGTTTAAGCTGCACGGACCAGTGGTTTCCGGAAGTATAAGAGATACAAGGGGGGCAATGGGGTTGCGTGGTTGCGTGGTTAATGTGTTCAGTCGTCACATCGAAGGGTCGGGTTCGACTCCCTACATAGATACAATGTGTAAAGCTCATTCACGGTGTCCCACGTGATATTGCAGGAACATTGCTAAAAGCGGGTTAAACCAAACTCATTCACTCAAGACGGATATATACACAGTACAAGGGGAAAACGCTACAGTGACACCCCATACGAACCTTACCCATTAACTTTTTTTTAATATTTCACCTTTCAATACATCTGTTGTGCTGATGTGTCTTGTTTATGACTTTTGTATGTCATGTTTTTAAATCTCTGAAATGTCCCCTTTTTAAAGAACATCAACAGAAATGACCTATTAAACCATTAAATGTTTATAAAACAGAAATAGAAAGCGGGATTAATCACTTTTCTTTGAGCACCATGACTGTGTTTGAAGTGCCTATATTTGATCATCAAGATTTCATGCCAATAAAATGTAGGTTACAGTGTCAAGTACTGGCAAGGACAAACTAGATCGGTCGGAAATAAACTTTGTTATTTCTCCGAACAGGTTCACCTCAAGCATGTATGCCAGTAAATTCTAGTGTCTTTGCCAATCTAAACAGCGCCCATCATGTAGAGGGAGCTGCGGCGTGCACAACATCAGCTGCATCTGATTGTACACCGTAGACACCTCAAGGACCCACCGATGTCTATCCCGATGAACATCCCGAACAGGTTTAGCATTCACTATGTGTACCGTAATAAATTGCAAGGTATATTAGGTTTAATAGAGTCTACTTTTAACCTAGGGGTCGGCAGGCTGGCCTTGTGGTTAAAGTTCTCGTTAGTCACTCAGAAGATCCCGAGTATAAGTCCTGTTGTTGCTGGAATATTGCTCAAAGCGGTGTGAAACCATGCTTAACTCACTTTGACAATCATATATGAAGTTGACATGTTAAAACCTACTCAAGATATAAACAGATACACATATGTAACTGTTCTACATTTTGACATGTAAACGTGTCTTATACTAATTAAAAAATGGCAACTTATTAAGTTATTGATAGGCGTTTCCTCTGGAGTGAGTTAGATGCAAACCATAATCATCGGATCCTGGCATGATCAAGGGAGACAACTTTCACCAGCGAGGCTGCCCAGCCTATACTGATATAACATTTAATAATCTATGCACCATCCAGTGTCAATGATAGATTAAAAGATGTGAAAGTGATAAGGTACACTAGTGCAACGTTCAGCCAATGATGTGTTTTGTCACAAACAGAAATACTTGATTCTTTCTATCTTCCTTCGTCATCTTTTTAAATGTCTATCTGTAAACTGTACCATTTAAAAAGAAGCCCACTCTATGGCACGAAGAATCTCTAATCCTGTATTCACTTCGAAACATCCTAAAATAATCACCCATAAACAACATGTAATAGATAAGTAGTTTCTTGTTAATGTATTTCAGACGCTACTTTTACAGATGACCAAAAAGGCAATTCACCCCAGGATCTCACTCGTGTAGAAGTCAGTTTGAAAGAACCTCAACCAAATCTTTTTACTGGGCCTCATATGAACGTGAAAAACGTTGAAATTCGTGTTATCTACGATGTTCAAGAGAATAGATTGATCTGAACAGGCAGCATCGCCAACACTGCAGACATCCGATATTGTGACAGTTGAATAATTACGGCACTTATATAACTCACAAGAAGTGTCATTTAAAGTTCTTTTTATCTTGTCAAGTTTGGGCCTTGTAACTTCTTCTCTGTGTCTCCAGAAGGAGTTTGATAGTCATCTTCCGGACTGCTCTAATTCAGTGTATCTTCACCCCGATGGATGTGATGGTGAATTACCGCGCTGATATGACTGGCAGTAAAACATCTATTCACGTCAGCTCGAACTAACCTTGTTTATTTCGGGGATGCATTCGTTATCATGAAAAATACGGCGCAAGCCCAATCGCCCCCCTCATACAGGCCCTACCAACGTCCCCCTCCAACCTACCGTGCACCAACAGCTACATCTTTGCACATGTTCCCGCGCCTTCTTTCTGTACAAATGATTAAGAACCATATTTTGTCAGCTTCATTTATTGTTTAGGAGACGCTAGATGATGTATGTTTTAATCAACTGTTTAACGATCACTGTTTACAACACTCTTGGTGCTGTGAGATGCACTGGCCATGTTTATTTTAATTACAAGGTGCGTTTCATAGCGAAGTTTATATCGCAACCGTCGCTACGATAGTTTCTGTCAAAGAGAAAGACAGGCCGGTTTGCTTTATGGCACTGTTGTTCAAACAACCGCCTACGCCTGATGGTGTTTGGTTAAGAGAATACCTGAGAGTACAGTCAAAAGTAGTCATGCGGTAAACAGTCTTACAGTGTCGGTCATATTTATCACGGTATGCCAGTTTGATGAAGTAGCGCACCCTCTGTCAGTCAACAAGGTACTGTTTGCCAGCGACTGATCTGGATAGTACGCCTGTGCTCTGTCTTTAACGATGGGCGTCTGTCGGAATGGTTGAAAATACCCAGATGATAACGAATTATGACAGATGAACTCCTTGAGCTGGAGATTATGAAAGTAACCGACTTGATATACGATTAACGTTGTCAGAACATTTGCTACTTGACATTGTTAATTTACGTAAACACTTAATAGAAGGAGTTCTCTCCATAAACATAGCATAAAAGTAATAGAGACAAAAATATATGCAAAAGATTGAGAGAAGGGTGCGTATATGCGTGCGTGCGTGTGTGCGTATGTATGTGTGTTGTCAAAATCGATTTATTCCGGCTCATGTTTACTTTTCCTCCACAGCAGCAATTATGGTATATGCTTGTCCTTGAAACTATGCTGAAAATATTGTTTTAGATTCTACCGGAAATTCACACTGAGTGTTTATTGGTTCCTCCTGGGCGAATTTCACTGAATTAGGTTTAATGAGTTACCATTTATGTGTGCAATTATTTATTCTGTAGCTGAGCTGAAGGCAAGTTCAGGATTTCACGAAACATTAAAAGAAAAATAAGATACAGGCGTAAACAATAAATGGAGAAAACTGAAGGTGATCTAACTTGGCGTTGTGGCCATAGGGAGCCGCTGGCACGTCATAATTGCGACGATAACGCCGTGGAAATGTCAAAGTTGTATGATTAACGCACTACTTCGTATTGCGCATGGAAGTCATTTCCTTGATCTTTCAGAGTGTGTGCAAAGGCTGGATTCTGCACTCCAGATTTATGACATTCCGCCACTGAAAATAGGCCGCGCTGTTGGACAGGGGCCAAGCATCAGTCTCGGCTTCACAGATGGCGGGAGGAGAAAAACCCTGAAAAACCTGATCCCACTTTCTACAGAACGTTCAGGAGATGGTATCATAAAGAAATTATATTAAGGTGCAAAGTAAATTGCCCGTATGATGTATACTGGCTAATGATCCATACAATTTCATTAAAAATGCCGCGAAGGTAACATACAGGATCTAATCATTCCGAAAGGAATCCGGAAGTTAACTGTATCGAAATAGACGTGACATGATAAAAGCTGAATGAAGACCCTAAACAAGGAGGACTTACATCAGCTTCATGAATAGGTTGGTGCAATGCATTGTACCTAGCCTTGCTCCAAGGCTAAACTGAATGCTAACCCATGGATGTACATGCATACTATTAGTAAGTCTATCATTTAAAGAGGCAAGTCTACAGCGGACAGTCTAAGGACGCCAGTCTGTGACAAGGACAATTTATTAATTTTATTCATATGTTTTAGAAATTATCATTTAAACTATCAATTATTACTGTAGAGACTTGTGCAAATCTACATTACACTTAACCTGAACGGAACTCTGCAAGATGTTCGAGGTTTTGCATTTAAGTACTTGTTTTGTTCTTTTGCTCATTTTCAAACAATTTG